TTATTATTATTATTATTATTAGGGCTTCATGTTAATGTTAATTTAATGTTTATGCTAAAAAAAAGTGCATATAGCTGCTAATTGTATTTGTTGTTTGTTGATTTTCAAATATAAAACTTATTGAAATGTTTTCAGTGTGTCTATCAGTTCTTTTTGAACATTTTCATCTAATTAAAAAAAAACCGTGATAGTATTGATAATCGTGATAACTTTGGTCACTATAATCGTGATATGAAATTTTCATACCGTTACATCCCTAGATCAGCATCAAGTTTAGGTGACACTGTCCTCTCCCCTGCCTCTATCTTCTACTGTAGTTCCTCTACAGATTATCTAAACGAAGTAGAAATATGACCCTGGAGTGTGTGCAGCCCCATCAACCACTGCGTTTGTGAGAGAGACACTCCTGAATCTCTCTCCGAGATAATAAGGCAGGGGAATTGACGGGAAGTTGTGGGGTGAAGCTTTTGCTCTCTCTCTGGCTCTGCCCGGAGCCTGTGGATTGGAGATAATGGCAGTAGATTTGAGCGTGACTAACCTCGCTCTACAGCGTCTGCCTCTTTCACCACAGAAAGAGATCGTTTAATGCCCCTACTTCGGATTTAAAAGCATTGCACTTTGGAAATGCTTCATGTGGGTGTGTCCTGCAGTAGAGTCCTCAATGGCAGCAATCGCACTGCGTTTCTTTGTATGTCTCCTCTGGGCGCAGCAGTTGCAACAGTTGGATCTTCTCAGCTGCTGTGACAGCTTGCATTTCCCCAGAGGGAGCGCTGGTAGTGTGGAATGAGGAAGAGTCTGTAATCTGAACGTTCCCACACAACTCTATAAAGAAAATAGAGGGGAAAGTAGGCCTAGTTCTTCATTGGTGTGCTCGCCTGATTTCTGACTTGATTCTTTCTCGTTGTTTCTGAAGCAGAAATTATGATGCTGTGACTTTACTCACATACACACACACACGCGCGCACACACACACACACAGAGCGAGAGAAATATAAAGTGAGAGAGAGTCAGTGGATATTGATTTGGGTCTAAGCTGTTGTTCTGTCATGGTGGGCTCAGGAAGTATTAGATAACATGAGCCCAGTCAATGTGGTTTTAACAACAGTGGAAATTAGAACAGGCCTTACCTCGAACAGCCAATGAGAATGATTGCCACAGGCTCTGAACACACAACAAACATGATGAAAAACGGAAGTGGCCAATACTGCGGGGACCACAGTTTTGAGTTTGTGTTGTTTTGTGGTAGGGAACTTAAATTTATATATAATGCAGATTCACTTTTGCATTATTCCCAACATAACAATGCTGAATGTGTATATATAAACAGTTAATACTTGAATTTGCTTTGGAAGTTAAAGGGATAGTTTGCCCAAAAATGCCAATTCAGTCATTTACTCACTTTTACTAATACTAGCACTTACCTATTATATTCTGTTCTATTCCATTCTATTATTTAATAATAATAAAAAAAATTAAAAAACCTAGCTACGTGTACTGTGCTAGACTAACTGAGACTTGTCATGGCACTTGTATACTGTTGTTCTCTCGTTGGTCTGATTGCTTCTATTGTTCTCATTTTTAAGTCGCTTTGGATAAAAGCGTCTGCTAAAGGATTAAGTGTAAATGTAAGTTGTTCCAAACCTCTGCATTTCTTTTTTCTGTTGAGCATTAAAGAAGATATTTTGAAAAATGTTGGTAACTTAACAGTTGACTGTAGCCATCAATATCCATAGTATGGAGAAAAAAAAATGTTATCATCTTGGCAGAATAGATTTGCTACGCTGCTGAATTGCTGTTGATTGTTTCTTTTGCTGCAAAGCAAGTACAGGAACTAGGGCTAGCTACTGCCAGTACATACACCGATACGGTACTGTAGGTATTTAAGACATACTGCTGCTGCACAAGTAGCATATATAATAACCCCTAGCAGATTTAGAAAGGTGGAGCTGGGGAGGGTGGGGTGTTTCAGAGGAACTCTGAAAGCGCTCTGCGAAATGCTAACCAGCCATTTAAATGTAAAGCAGCAAGCTCATTGGCTGCGTATGCAACATGAACCAATCAGCTTGTGCAGAGTAGTTTAACGCCGTGAATATCATCAGTTTGCATTAACGACCCATCAGCCTGCACCATCTAGAGTTTCATGACAGAGCATATATACTGTGGAAATCAATGGCTACTGTTTGGTTACCAATATTCTATAAAATATCTTCTTTGGTGCTCAACAAAAGAAAGAAACTTGTGCAGGTTTCGAGGGGTGAGTAATTGACAGAATTGCCATTTTTGGGTGAACTGTCCCTTTAAATTACATGTATATATGCCTACACAGAGTCCGTCTGTAGAATTCCGCTGATTTATACTTTAATCAGCCATTTAAAAAAAAAACAAAAAAAAAATGCTGGAATGCCTATTGCTGAAATTGTAAAAGAAATTTGGTCATATTTTTTTAATGTACTACAATACAGTATAATAAAAAGCACAACTGAGAATGAAAATCATTTTATTTCAGTGTGAAATGTTTTCAGGAGATTCACTTTGTGTACATACAGTCGTGACGTGTGGAAAAAGTAGTAGTTCTCAGCAGTCTTCCCAGGCATTTCTGCAGCTCATACGCAGCACAGCTGACGAAATGTCGTAAATTGTTGTCATAAATAAGGGTAGACCAGCAACTCTGGACTTTAATGTGTTGTAGGGGCTGTAAAAAGTTGACGTTGACTGCCATACAGCCATGCCTGTTTTTACATATCCTTCTTTGTTGACATTTTAACAGATTCTAATGGCAATATCTCATCAGATTTTTATTTATTTTATTTATTTATTTTTTCGTTTTTAGCACATTAGCATGTCTCTAAGTGCAATGTTGTTCTGTTGTGCACATAAATAATAACACGCACATTATTTCTGCCTTTTTCGTTTTCAGTTAAGGAGTTTCTTGCTAAAGCCAAAGAAGATTTCCTAAAGAAATGGGAGAACCCAGCACAGGTCAGTTAATCCCATTTTCTGCACTGCATACAATCACTTTGTCAACCAATGAGCTAATGAGAGTTGCATTGCTCCCCCTTCTGGACACAAGGTGAACTGACCTGCTGTTTGTTTTTCTCTTTAACTCCGGAGTGTCTGATTTTTCAGTAGTAGACAGCTTTTGTACTAGAGACCCTGAGGAAGTAATAAAAGTACAATTTGATGTATAATGAATGTGATTTATTTGCTGTATTTCATCACATTTCTGAAATCATACCTTAAACTGTAGATCTTGTTAGTGAACGTTCAGATAATAAGCGAAATAATCAGTCATGTAAGTTTGACTGTGCTCCAGATAAACCATACAGGAACAGTCAAATGTGTCTTTGAAAAAATTAAAACAACATTTATTTACCAACACTTTTCATCATCTGTTCCTCTATATACTTTATTCTGTTCCTCAGAATACTGCATCTCTGGACCATTTTGAGAGGTTGAAGACTCTAGGCACTGGCTCGTTTGGACGAGTCATGCTAGTCAAGCACAAAGAGTCAGGCCAGCATTTTGCCATGAAGATCCTCGACAAACAGAAGGTAAGCCACTCTCAGAGGAATCGGCGCTGAAAGGTGCGTGTCTGTGTGTTGGAGCTCATTTTCTCGTGTCTTTCAGGTGGTGAAACTGAAACAGATAGAACACACACTGAATGAGAAACGCATCCTGCAGGCCGTCAGCTTCCCGTTCCTTGTGCGATTGGAGCACTCGTTCAAGGTACCAGCTCTGTGTGTGTGTGTGTATATGTATACTTGCATGATTTGGACAAGGATGATACAGCAAAAAATATGTATATCTTAGTCTTTCAGCCTTTAGATGAGTTTCGGGTCATTAAGATGTTTTTTAAAGATATTAATATTTTTATTCAGCAAGCACACGTTAAATTGATCAAAAGCGACAGTAAAGACATAATGCAATTTATTGAACTTTCCATTCATCAGAGAATCCTGAGAATAAATGTATCAGGTTTCCACAAAAATATGAAGCCGTTTTCAACATTTATAATAATAATAAAGGTTTCTTGCGCAGCAAAGCAGCATATTAGAATGATTTCTGAAGGATCATGTGACACTGAAGACTGGAGTAATGATGCTGAAAATTCAGCTTCGACCACAGGAATAAATTACATTTTAAAATATATTTAAATAGAAAACAGTTATTTTAATCATAATAAAGTTTCATTTCGGGTCATTAAGATGTTTTTTAAAGATATTAATATTTTTATTCAGCAAGCACACGTTAAATTGATCAAAAGCGACAGTAAAGACATAATGCAATTTTATTGAACTTTCCATTCATCAGAGAATCCTGAGAATAAATGTATCGGGTTTCCACAAAAATATGAAGCTGTTTTCAACATTTATAATAATAAAGGTTTCTTGCGCAGCAAAGCAGCATATTAGAATGATTTCTGAAGGATCATGTGACACTGAAGACTGGAGTAATGATGCTGAAAATTCAGCTTCGACCACAGGAATAAATTACATTTTAAAATATATTTAAATAGAAAACAGTTATTTTAATCATAATAAAGTTTCACAATATTACTATTTTACTATGTTTTTGATTAAGCCTTCATGAATATCTCAATGGTTTTGTGCTCTTTTCTTTTATGTGTTCTGTTCTTAGGACAATACTAACCTGTATATGGTAATGGAGTATGTTCCTGGAGGAGAGATGTTCTCTCACTTACGTAGAATTGGCCGGTTTAGGTGAGTTTTTTTTTTTTCTTCTCTATTTATATTGCACTAGCTGCATGAGCTTACTCCAACCAGGCGTATTATACTTGTGGAAATTTGTGTTTCTTTAGTGTTTTTACATTTAGATGATTTTAAGTCACTCTTAGACTTTATTTTCATTTATAGCTATTTATTGTTGTTTTCGACTATTTTTAGTGTCGTACTACAAATTGTGCCACATCATCTATATGATGACACACAATTTCGAAACGGCCTCATACTCAAAATAATACTAGATTAGAGACTTATTAGTCAAATCTAGAGCAGCGCTGCATTCTTGCTGACAGTGATTTCAGTCATTTTTGCAATAAATATTAAGTAACTACTACTGGCTACATTGACTAACTTCCTTGAGCTGCAGTGTCAAATTTAGACGGGGAACATTGAGGCCAAATTGTCACTTGCCAAACATTTCAAATGTATTCATAGTTTCATAGTTTAAAGGCACTTTATAGCCTCTAACTCTACAAGATTCAAAACATTCATTGTTGTCTGTGCAGAGACTGCAGCACTGACTGATGCTTTGAATAAGTGATATTGGATGTTACACCAGACTGGGAATCAAGCTGAATTTCCTGATTCACAAGTTATTCATTTATTTCTACTTTTGCTTCAGATATTTCAGTTACCATTTGAACTGGCCTGTTTAAATTACTATCATTTATATAATCACCTAAAACATAGCATAACAGTCATTGGTTATTTTGCATATTGTCCTTTTTTATCAGTTTTATTATTATCATTTTCACATCCACTGATAAAAGGATTTTCAGAATTAAAAAAACCATGCAGATTCATAAGAATTGCTGTGCACATTGTTTATTTTCAATTCAGTTAATGATGTTATTTTAGGGTAGTTGACGTGACGTCAAACAGTGGCAGCAGTGTCCTGATACGTGACATGCTGTAGGCCTGCTTCATCTAAAACTATTCAATCGTCTCATTCTTGTATAATGACTGTGCACGCAGGTCCTGTGACCTCTGTACATTTACGTTGTGTCTGTCTGTCTCTGTCCGGTGCAGTGAGCCTCATGCCCGATTCTACGCCGCCCAGATAGTTCTGACCTTTGAGTACCTTCACTCACTTGATCTAATCTACCGAGATCTGAAGCCTGAAAACCTGCTCATAGACCAGCAGGGCTACATACAGGTAAACACGCAGGGTTTGAAACCAGATGACTTCATGAAATGCCATGATAGCAGCTCCAAGAATGTCACATGACTGCAAAGAGTATACCTGCCTTGTGTTTGAGTGTCTCTTTAAGACCATCCAGGCTCATTCACAGGTTTTCACAAATGAATACATGCAATATTCATTCTTGCTGTTTTCTCAGGTAACAGATTTTGGATTTGCTAAACGTGTAAAGGGCAGGACCTGGACACTGTGTGGCACACCCGAGTACCTGGCGCCAGAAATCATCCTCAGTAAAGTGAGTACCGAAGCTGCATTACTTGTTTTAACTGCACTTTAAGCCATTTCAGCATAACTCCTACTCTTTCTGTCTCTCAGGGTTATAATAAAGCAGTGGACTGGTGGGCTCTGGGAGTGCTGATCTATGAAATGGCTGCCGGTTACCCTCCGTTCTTTGCCGACCAGCCCATCCAGATCTACGAGAAGATTGTTTCTGGGAAGGTGAGCGCTGCGAGAGATTATCACATTATTTGGTGCTGGATGTCATATAGTGCAGTGGCCACTCTGTACTGCGCACTAGAGATCTGCTACCCGACCCGAGCCCGAAGGGTCCTGAAATATTTTCGGGGTTCGGGTTAATGTTTAATGAATAGCTTCAGGTTCGGGTCGGGCTCGGGTTTATAGCTAAACTAAAACTATATGCAGTAGGCTACGCACCAGCCCATCCAGATCTACGAGAAGATTGTTTCTGGGAAGGTGAGCGCTGCGAGAGATTATCACATTATTTAGTGCTGGATGTCATATAGTGCAGTGGCCACTCTGTACTGCGCACTAGAGGTCTGCTACCCGACCCGAGCCCGACGGGTCCTGAAATATTTTCGGGGTTCGGGTTAATGTTTAATGATTAGCTTCAGGTTCGGGTCGGGCTAGGGTTCATATACTCACGCACACACATTAGGCTATTGCACACGACAACACAGCACGGAAACTTTTATTAGTAAAATAGCTTCGACGGGCTACTGACTCGCAACGTTATATTTTTTGAAGTATAAGCCTCATTGCTTGTCGAGAGAGACGTGCAGACGCAGGTTCACATACGCAACTTTCAGCCCTCTCTCTCCCCCCCCCCCCCCCCCCCCCCCCCACTTCCCAGCCCCCCGGCCGCGCGGCAGGCC